TTAGTTAAAAATAGAAACATAAAGCAGCTGCTGTAGGTCTGCTGAAACAATTGCCACTATCAAAAGCTGGTGTTTAGTGTTACAAGGCTGTCTTGTTAGAGCTTTGCAGTAGTTGCTTCTTCTGTCTTCTTTACTGACTGTTTATGTTTGTAATACAGTAAATATTACAAATAGTAAATTTACTATAATATAGTAAATTGTCATAGCTAATCTTAAAATTAGCATTTTAAGTGTATCTGTCTGTAAAGTTTTAAACAGTTCAGTAATGTGAAATAGTCTAAAAGGAATTTAGCAGCTAGTAGAGTGTGTCTTCTTCCTGACAGAAGGAATCAGAAAACCATGGTGGGAGGCAGATGTGTGGAGAAGACACTGCAGGCCACCTCTGCAGTGTAAAGGAATATCCTGCTAAACACTTGAGTTTGAAAAATGGAATTGTTTGTTATTTAATAGGTATAATATATGCTGAGTCAGAGGAGGGGAATAATATTTTTAATCTTTTTCAGATTATCACAGCAAATCCCTGGAACATGATTGCTCTTCTTTGTGGCATCTTTTTGGCTTTGTTTAAGGCAGCAGACTTTGCTAAGTTAAGTGTTAAGTGGATGATCAAAATCCGAAAGAGACATCTGAAGAGGAGGAGCCAAGCAATGAACCACATAAACTGAAACTAAGACTGCCTTTTAACTGTTCATAGCATAAGGGGTAGGAAATAACTGGAATAAACTTTAATCAACAGTTGAAGATGCAAGGTATGTTTCCTTCTGCAAAAACGACGGCTGGAGGACCAGCCTAGTGAAGTGGCCTTTGAACTTCAGAAAGGAGCTAACTCTAGGACAGGTCTAACAAACTCATGCTTTTCTATTCCAAATTTAACAATCTTACCTCAATATGAGGGGACCAAGGGAGAAGGAGAGAATTCAGTCATGTTCAGAAAGTCAACACTGTGATTGTTCTAAACAGCTCTAAAAAAAAAGGGATGGATTTTAAATGCTTCTCAGAACAGGAGACCATTTAATGTCTGCATGAGCCATGACCTGCATCTGCTATTGTAATGCAGCTACTTCCTTGACTGTGTTTAGTGGGTGGTAAAGCATTCAACAAAACAGTCTGGCCTCCCCTCTGCAAGTATGTGTTAAAACTAAATACACTGGAATTCTATTATGTGTAATTTTTAAAGTTTAGTGACTTTAATATTAAAAAAATACTTCAAATAATGTATTGTGTACATTCTTTGCAACTACCTGCTCTCAGGTTCAGCTGGAGCTTTACCAGGAGGTGGTGCAGGCAGGAGTACTACAGCAAGATGAGATGAAAACCAAACATTTCTTCCTCATCAGTCCAACTTCAAGTAAAGTCAAGCAACCCAATACCTGGGCATAGAGTTCAAAGTCAGTCTCAGGCTGTTGCTCATCCCTTTTCTCCCCCGTCTGTGCTGAAGTAGTGAAAAATAGACTTTCATCAGCTTGGTATTTAAATGTGATTCTCAGTTACTTAGAGAATGTGTGCTAATGAATGGTGCAGTGGTGGTGTCCTCTTTTTCTTCCTTATGAGTCCCTTGTTACTCTAGATGCCTAACTCAGACTTGTGGAGGCCATGGCAGCAGTGCACCACTGTGTGTTTGCTCTGGAGGCTTTGTTGCAAGGGAAGGGAAGTCAGATTTTGCTTCTTCCATCCTCTAGCTAACAGAGTATTAATACAGTAGCAAGCATATAAAAACTACCACACAACCTCCCCTCCTTTTTTTCTTTGCCTCTTAAGGAAGCATTTTGGAACAAAATTTACTACTCTCAGCTGATTTCCAGAGCAAATCAAGGCAGTGCTTTGCCCAAACACAGCCTTAAACAAAGGAGCAATAATTCACTGTAATAAGAAAAATGAAAGAGCAGCACTAGCTGTAGGCAGGGAGGCAGTGCACAGGTCTCCCTTGTCCAAGCAGGTGAGGGCAGGAGGAGGTTACAAGCCTACCAGGCACTTGCAGTTACCCCTCATGCTGCTTGCCCAGGTCCTGTGTCAATGTCTCAAATGCCTCATTAGCTGAAGGGTTGAGTCAGCTAATTCCCTGACACTCTTCTGGAGAAGAAAAAATTTGGATGCAAGAACAGGTGGTGGTCAGTAAACAGTTCATGTTCAATATCTTGCACTGATGGCTCTTAAACATGTCCCAGCAGGGCCAATATTGTGCCTGCCTCAGGTGAGGTGGTAGGTAGTGAGTGCATAGTGCATGAATGAGATTAAACACAAGAAAGCTGGGGAGGGACTTTTTACAGGAGCCTGTAGTGACAGGACAAGGGGCAATAGCTTTAAACTGGAAGAGGATAGACATTAGGAAGAAATTCTCTACTGTGAGGGTGGTGAGAGACTGTAACAGGTTGCCCAGGGAAGTTGTGAACACACCATCCCTGGAGGTGTTCAAGGCCAGGTTGGATGCGGCTTTGAGCAACCTGGTCAAGTGTGAGGTGTCTCTACCCATGCGGGGGGGGGGGTTGGAACTAGATGATCTTAAAGGTCCCTCCCAACCCAAACCATTCTATGCTTCTGAGAAAGCATTCTGCTGACTTTCTGGTCAGCTTGTAGCCCTTTGCTTTCCCAAAAAGACTGAGTGCCTGTAAGAGAGACAACTGAGCTTTCTTCATTCCTTACTGTCAGAGACACCCAAGTGTTCCTTTAACAAAGGTATTAACAGCACCTATTTCTTGGATTTTACAAGAATATTAAGAAACAACAGGTACCAATGCATCCTACTGTATTTTTTGTCTTTTTTTTGCTAATGAGGTCAGAGAAAGTGTTGGAAGACAGGGTGGCTCTACCCATGGGCTGAGTAGAAGGTGTGGTTAAAGAAAAGATGCACTCCTTTCTACAGTACTTAATGTACTTTCTTTTTTGGACCACATTCCCAGAGTAGTCAGCATCAGTCACTACAGCTAAGCTATCACCATCTTTTGTTTTATAAGGAAATGTTACTAGAGCAGGCCAGCTGATTCCAGCCAAGAAGCCTCTCTTCTATACCTATTTATAGGAATGATTCTACTAGCAAATGTTGACAATTTGTTTGAAAGGGCCTGTTACAGCTACTGTGTTTTTCTGTTACTTACTCTTACTACTTACTCTTGCTGTCCAGATTTGTAAAGTTTTGAACAACACACAACAATTAGAAACACCAGTAATTTACTACTTATACCACTGCAAGGTGTTAGGGTCCCTAACTGCCATGTAATTTATCTCCTTTATGCTGTAGGGTAACTGAAAATATTTTATCTCTCAAATAAAGGTTTTTATTCTTCCATGAGAAGACAACACTAAAAAGAACTAAACTGAGTTAAAGTGTCTGCGTGACAGTCACCTTCCTCCTGAGCTGGCAAAGCTTGCTGACCCCACAGTCTTTAACATCTGGCTTCAGGACTTTCAGGAGCACCATGAAATATATTCAGGTTCCCCTCCCCCCCCCAAAAAAAAAAAATATGTGGGCAGCCACCCACCACAGCAGAGTCTGCTTTGGTCAGCTGATGATACAGTCTATGGATGTAAAACTGACACATAGAGTAGCAACTCACTGATTTTGCTCAGAGCTATTACAAGCATAAGCCACTTCAGGCAGCATTTGTCCCCATTTCCCTTGTGAAACAACTTCTTGGCAACAAAAATGAAGTAACAATAAAAGTACAATAAAATCAACTCAAACAGGGTAGTAGAGTTGTTCCCTCTGGAAACTGCGTGGATAAAGTCTGCAAATCAGCCAAGCAATGGGTACAACCAGCCCAGGCTCAGCTGTACTGACCACCACCTGCCCTGCACAGGACAGAGCCTTCCACCTACTCACAAAACCAAAGCTCCTCCCGCCCGCACCTCCAGCATTTCTACCGCTCTCTGAAAAGCCACAGGTTACTCAGACACACGTGTGCAGAGACATGGGTGTTCATAACAGCCCTTCTAATGCTCCTGGTCATGATCAACACAAAGATGTGATATACAGCACTAAATACAAACATAAAGACTTTATTGAATGCTGCTCAATTCCCCAAAGATCTTTCATTACAAAAGTTTTCCACACAACTGCAGTTTAAGAGATTGGAATGGTACTCTGATAAAGGATGTGAAAAATACTTGATCAAGTAAACAGACAAGACTTCTATTGTCAGCTTTCCACCCTTAAGAAACAGACTGCATTTTCTTTAAATAAAACAAGGAACTATTTATTGACATGCTTTCCTCCTTACTAAAAAAAAGTAATGCCAATTTTGGTCTCATTCTTCAGTCCATGAGATGCTAAAACTAATGGAGAAACACTCAGGGTAGTCTCTAGGAGACCTTAACTACTCTGCAGGGAGTCCTTAGGCTCATGAGGAGCATCATTGATGGGCTCTCTGGAAGAAGCTCCATCCTCAGCTGTAGCAGGAAGAAATTTCTTAGTAGCCCAGGACCAAGAGGCAGCCAGAATGGGGTAGAGGCACCCACTAAGCAGTAGGTCAGACCCATGGACCATCCCAACCTGTTCAAGCTGACTTTCTCTCCCTACTTTGCCTCATTCAAATGTGAGCATAATATAAATCTAAATCTGAATCCAATCAGGAATTCAAGGACAGCACCATATCAGAGTTCCTTTCAGTGCTGTGAGGGGCACATACTGAGTATCTCAAGTTATCGGTAACATACCTTATTTTATTTGAGAAAATACAGCACAACTAGAAGCCTTTTCTATCATCTTAACCAAAGTTTGCAGCAATGTGAAAAGCACATATAAAACAAGGAAAAAAAAAAATGTACATAGCAAACTATACCACCTATGTGCAACACAATCAAAAATTCAAGTCATTAATTCTCACCACTCCCGTAATTATTTCACTCATTAAGGATGATAATTCAGTTCTATGAAACGTTGGAAGTGACAGTATATCAATAATTAGACAAATTTACAATATGCTGTGGTAATGACATCACTTAACTGCTGTATTTAAATTCATATCTTTACATTTGCCAGAGAAAAAAATTGGCTGTTTCTATTATACTGATGAGGTTTCTTTTGCAAATCTTTATATATCTCAAAAGGGTACAAAAAAGTATGTCTGCCAAGCAGAGGTGGTCAATTCTTTTATTTGGCACTTGTATTGTGTGTGTTTAGCACACTGTGAGTGCTATTCTGCTTTTCTGCCATTGCCTTCTTTAGCTTTAGCTCCTCTAGCTTTCTCCACAACTCTTCACGTTCCAATTCTTTCTTTTTCTCTCTGTAGAAAAGAGCAAAGTATCCATTTCAGATGTGCTTTAAGTGCAACGTGGAGACGCAGTTACTTCACAACTGTCATTTACATCTAGTAATTCCTCTTTTACGTTTTTCTCCAAAGCTATTTTTAGAGGCAATTACAGTTTCCGCTATTAAAAAGCAAGCATACAAATTGCTGTTAGTGGTAAAACTAACTCTGCTCCAGCAAACCCAGACAATTGCTGTACTGTGGCTTTGCACAGATGACTGCAGTTCTAAGGAGGTTCTTCACCACATGCAAGCAAATTAAGGGACTGGGCATCTTTGCAGGAGAAAAGCACTATTGAAAGGAGACTTAGCACGTGGTTTCTGCTGGCCCAGGATAATGTACACTTCCCTTACTCCAACAGTACTGCTGAGTAGGTTAGTAGGATAAGAGGTTTTAGCTGAGCTATGAAGTGTTCTCCAGCTCAGTTTTCTTCAGATGACACCCCCTGAAGCAGCAGAGCAAGCACCCAGCAGCCCCTTGCAGCACAGCTAAGCCCAGTTTTCCCTCACAGGGGATCAAGCCCTCCCTGCACAGGCAAAATGGGAGCCAAGGTCTCCCTGCCACCTCCGCAGGCTCTGGCTCCCATCACACCACTGCCACACACCTGTGTGGGTGCTGCTTACTCAAGTGACACCCAACAGCAAGTATCTGATGAGCAGCTCCACTACAGAATCCCACAGCTGCAACAGTTAAGTTTGTTTCTTTTCATCTGGTACATTTTAGATATGTATTCAACACACTATTGGAAGGAAAATGTGTACCTTTGCCTTTCTGCTTTATATGAGCTTGTAAGTTCATCAAAAAGCTTGCCGTTCATTTCCATCAGGGTTTTCAGCACGTTATACACCAGTGCCACAATAGTTCTACAACAGAAGGAACACACCCATTAGAACTACTCAACACAAAACGAACTTCAAGTGTTCTGTTTCTTTTTCAGACTCTGAGCTTCTTAAAGATACTGCAAGGTCTGTGACTTTCTGAAAAAAAACAATCCTTTAGTTTCCTCTGTAAATTAATAAAATGCATTTTAAAATGTTTCTTGAAATGGCCGTTCAAATTCCTGACTCTTGAAGATGCAGAGGATATAATGATTAGTACTCTGGTTGTACTATAAAGCCATTGAATTAAGTTAACATTTAAAAATCAGTTTTAACAACAGTTTTGTAATATCTGAGTGATAAAATATTAGAGTCCAGAAAAATAAACTGATTAATAGCTTTAAGACTGGGCAAAAGGGTGTAGCAGAGGAAGAGCCCTACCAGCAGCAATTCTGGGCAGCAGTTAGTTTTGCTGCACATGCCCTGTTAAGAGGAGTGAATTGAGAACATCAGCTACTGGTTTCCAGTAACTTGGGTTACTTTAAGAAACTGAACACCTTGAGCAATACTGTGTCTTAAATGGCTGTCCACATTTCCATGTTAGATACCACTCTTGGGCATTCATATTTCAGTCAGTTAACTTAAATACTATATTGTTTATCTCTTTTAAGCCCACTCTTAATTATACAAAGAGATGCAAAACCAGCAGTAAAATTCAACATTTAAAAGATGCCTATCATCAAGGTTATCACTAATCAAAGACAAGGGTGAAGACATCTTTGACATCCTTCCCCTCACTAGCAGTTCACCTCCACTCAGCAGTACAGCTCATAAGGTGGCAGGGCTGGGGTGCCATGCAGTCTTGTGACTGTGAAAAATGACTGGAAGGAAAAATCTAAGAAGTGATCAAAGGACAAGGTTTGACTTTTCAGTATGCTTTGTCCATTGCAGCACTAGGAAATCCCCCAGCTATTCAGAGGCCCTGCTCTCACTGAAGACTCATAGTACACTTTGCCTGTCTACACACCTTTTTTTAATTTTTCTTTTGAACACCAGCTTTGAAGACAAAAGCTTGTTCAAGGTTTTGGTTTTCAGAGAGGAAAACCTTGATTTTGATTAAATAGTTAAGTCTGCATCAAATAGCTAGATGGATATTAACATGTTTCTCAGCCCTCCAAAACAGTTTAAAACCAAAGGGTTAAAATTCCTCTTCCCCCAACCTTCCTGGTCCTCCAGCCATATAGTTATCCCCCCTTTCACTTCTTTCATAAAGAGCAACTTCTCTCTGCAGCTAGGGGAAGAGGGACATCCTTCAAATTTGTTGAGGTCTCAAGTACTATTAATGGTCCAAGAACTAGTTCTCCAAGATTCCTATTTAGTCTCAGCTGACATGTTTGCAATAGACACTATACAGAAAAATTCAGAATCATTTAACAGCCTCCAAGGACTGATTTTCTTCAACATTATGGGAGGCTCCTGCGTACACAGTTTTCTTTCCTGTACACACTTTACATTCTACAAATTGACTTCAGGATGCTGGACACAAGCAAACTTTGCTTCTTAGTATTTAAGTGTAATTACTGCTTCTTTCAAACAATCTAAAAATACTAACATTTAACTTGCAGCATTAAATATAAAATGAAGTCATCACAGAATGTTAGGGTTTGAAAGGGACCTCTAGAGATCATCTAAGTCCAAACCCCCTGCCAGAGCAGGGCCACCTAAAGTAGGTCACACAGGAACCCTAAACGAGTTTTGAAAGTCTCCAGAGAAGGACACTCCAGAACCACTCTGGGCAGCCTGTTTCAGTGCTCCATAGCCCTTACAGTAAAGAAATTTATCCTCATGTTGAGGTGGAACTTCCTGTGCTCTGGCATATACCCATTGTTCCTTGTCCTATCACAGGGCACCACCCTTTCTTGACACCCACCCCTCAGATATTTGTTGACATTACTAAGATCCCCTCTCAGCCTTCTCTTTAAGTAGAGAAGTGGTAGGTGACTTGACTTCTCCAATACTGTCTTTTCCCCTTATCTCCCTGGGCTGCAATAACTACTTTAGACATTGACAAAATTCTGTTCATCTAAATCAGTAAAGGACAACAAGGCATAGATCCAGCAGAAGCAATCCGTGAAAATTGTTTTGGACTAAGTAGCACTAATCTGAATTTGCAACTAGCACATAATATCAAACATGATTACAGTAGAGACCATCATCCAATGTCCTCATACTTCTCCAGTAAATTCTGGTTCTCCATCACAGCCATACGAAGCAACAGAAGCGTGAGATAGCTGAAAGTTACACCCATTTTAGCACCCATAATCTCATTCATTTCATCAGATCTAGATAAAAAAATTCAATCACATTTACAAGCTTCCAATCCAAGACTGAAACAGTGGACAATTTCTTTATGGTCCTATAGATAAAGCTAAACATTACATACGGATTCCAGTGCTCTTTGGAGATCTTGTATAAACTGCCAAACATAATTGGTAGAATTTTATCAATGTTCTCCTCAATGAGGCTAAGAATATATTCATTATTCCAGAAGTACAAAGCTCTTTCTGCAACCTGAAACACAAAGTGCGGGGGGTCAACAGCCACAAAATAAATTATTGGAGGGTTGTTTTTTTTTAATATTTTTTTTTTACCTGAAAATGTGAACTTGACACACACTTGGATATTTGCTTAAATAAAGGCTCTTCTATTTTTTTGAATTGTGTCGGTTCTATTACATCTAGGATTTCTTCAATTTCACCTAAAAACATGACCTGTTTGTATAAAAGAAACATATCAAACAGTATGAAAATGTTTAACATCTCTATTGTAAACAAGCAAGCAAAATACAGCTTATATATTAGTCATGAATCCTGCAAAGAACACAGTATTTAATTACAATGCATTAGGCATCCACAGGTCCTCCTGCAGCCTGAAAGAAGCTGGTCATCAGTTTCAGCTGCCAGGTTACAGCTCTCATCTTGGATTTCTTCTTTTGTGTAATTGCTCTAAACACTTGACAGAACTGCTTCTGCAGAATATGCTTTTCTTTCACAGTCAAAAACCCAACAGAACATGTTGTTTCTTCAAGAATGGCTGCAGAGGTCACTGTTATCTGAGATGTCCAAAGTAGCTTTTGAAGTGATAAATAGTTAATTCCTCATCTTAAATTGCAACAAACAGAACTCTAGGCAGGTGACACCCAAAAATTCAACACCACTCACAGAGACAACGGTGTTAAGGGACTCCACTTTTATAGGGCTGTTTTTGGGGTGGGATCTGGTGGCATAAACCAAACTCCTGATTTTTACACTCATTTTAACTACATATAAGAAACAAAAAGAGTACTACAGAAAAATAACATATATATACTTTACCAGACACTTACTCAGTATCTCAAATGTTATTTCTTTGTCACATGCCAGATGATTACCTCCTACCTTGTCTGTATCTACTAAAATACTTCTCCCCTTGGAAAATAGTTTCTCTACATAATATCCTAATTAGAATGCAACATTTATTATAATTTTAACACAGTAGCACCACAGTAAGAACAGACATATAAAGCAATTGCATTGAGTTATATGACAAAGATGAGCACCTCAAGAAGATTCAAGAAGTCCAAATTTTCTGTAAGATCTCTTGAAAAGCACAGCAGAGGTCAAGGTCTATGAACCTCTGCCACACCACATCTTACATCACAGCAGACACCAGAAACAAGAGACAAAACCAACCTCTTTCTGACTGCAAGTTTTTGGCCAAAATTTGAGCAATCCTCTGATTACCTGTATTAAAAATACAAACAAGTTAAAGCAGAACAAGTTTCTACTATGTACTCGATACATTTTTTATAAGTACTAGTTTTTATTAAACCTCTGGTTAAGGAAAAGCAAACTAAAGGCAGCTAAATGTAGTTCCACTGAAAATAAATACAGTGGTGTCTCACTTAAACATTTTATCTTGTTTAGGTTATCAGAAGAATTTAGATCTGTATCACTAGTCTTTGACTATCTATTCACACTCCACTCCCATCCCACTACATACATTAATTTTTAAGAGGCTGATGACATCAAAGTATCAAAAAAGGAAGTTAACTCCCCTGTAGCTAGATTTCCCAGAATAATTTTTTCTGTCTTCTACTCATGCTTTGGGGAGCACCTGTCTTGGTGTCAAGGTTTGAAGGCTGACTGCACAAACAGGGCTATACAGAGGAGTCACAGCCTCTACCACTGCCTTTTTTCTTCTATAATTTGAAATGTTGAAGACTGGAAACTAAAAAAAAAAGTGAACCTCCTAAGACAATATATTTCAGTATCTATATTGGAAACTATCTTACACAAGACTGGAAAATAACCTTTGGGAAATTTAATTAGAAAGTACAGCCCCCCAGGAGGAATGGGAACACACATGCAGCCAACAAAGGCTGAAGGCCTGTTTCCTAGAAACAAACACCTGACACGGGATATAATTTACAAAATTCAGACTGGCTGAATAAAAAAAAAAGCAAGCTATAACCACATGTTCCAGAAGCAGAAACATTCCCAGAGCCTTATAAACTTTCAGTCCAAGGAAAGGATCTCTTTTAATGATACGGCAGCACCTAATTGGTCATACCCAACTGTAAAACTTGCTCAACTAATTTAATACCTTCCATGTTTTGCTGCGTTGATTCCCTCACCCCCAGCTGGCTGTTTTATTCACATCTATGTGACCTTCCAGATCAAAAGCTAATAGCATTTTAAGTGCCAACAAGTCTTTGATATCATAGGATACACATATCCTGCTACTACAAAACTGGATGTCACTTCAAATGACACCAAGCAAATGCAGAAACCACAGGCAGCTGATAAAGTCCTATACTCCAAATCCACAAAAAGAACAGATTACATGAAAAAAACATATCCTTTACAGATCCTCAACCATGTAGTTCTACCTAGCTGGGTGAAAGCTACAAGACAACTGAAATAGCAACATCATCACCTGTCAGGTGATGAAGGAGCAGGAGGCTTAGGTCAGCCCACACAAGTGACACTTTTGCAGACACCCACAGAGGCAGAGCTCCCTCCCTGACGTGCCTCCACAGACAGCACAGAAGAGCTGGGACCGATGGCAGTGACATTTGGAGCTTCCCCATTTCACTGCCATTACCTGATCCAGCAGCCCTTCACTCAGCTGCTTCTCCTCCTCCTTCAGGAGTCAGACTTGCATGAATTAATTACACTTGTTTCTCTACAGTCACAGTTGAAAGCAGTCTCTGTAAATACACCTTAAATCTAGGGCCGTTATCTGTCAATTAGCTTGTACCTGAATTACTCAGTTCTATGCTGCTGAGATTTTGTAAGGTTAAAAAAACAAACCTGAACATTTACAAGATTGAGAGCTCACTCTACCAAAACCTTCCTTTCTCCAGAACAATGCATGTAAGCAAAAGAACTTCAGACAAGCACATTTGTCAAAGAACAGCTGTGCCTACCTACCATACACCCCCTAACTGAAGCACAGATTTACTAGTCTCGAAAGCATAAAAATTGAGTTAGCTGGAAGTCCAGTTTCTAGCACTTAGTTATTGTAGGAGTGTTGAATACACTTCACTACAAAGACTAGTATTCTCAACTTGATAAAGAAATAACATGTTCCAAGTGTAACAGTGCAGACCTCAACAAAATACCTATTCCTTGCTCCTCAGACTATCAGTTTTCAGCTTGAGTATGCTTTCATATTAAAAACCTGATAAATTCACATTTCTATACAAAGATTTTATTTAAAAATATGTATATATAACATTAATACAGATCCGAAATCCTGCTGCTCTTCCTACTTAGATTAGTAATTCTCCCTGAGCTACAAAATTCCCATAAAGTTGACTTACAACAGTAGGCACCTGCTAGAAAACATAACTAATGTACAAGGACTGGATGTTTAGCCTGGTTTCTTCAATGTAAAGGCCGTTGAAGTTAGCAGTGTTAGGTAACAAACTCTTCTTGTCAGCTCTGCAAACATCAGGATTGACCTAAGGCTGACTACCATAGTTATCAGAGCTCAGATTGAATGTCCTGTAAGTTGACCCTGAGTGACAATTCCTGCCAGAAAAATAACAGAAAGGTACTCGTGAAGTCAGTCTTGTGATGAGATTCTTAAAATATTACTTGACCTAAAGCAAAAAAAAATAAATCCAAATGCTCTCTCTTCAGTTGCCCCAAATTTTAACTTTTCAACCATTTCAGAACGTTTCCTAAAGCTTCACTTCTTACTACTTTCTTAACTTTAACTCCTTTATAAAGCCAATTTTCCTATACACTCAGAGTAATGACCAAAGCCAGTGACTCTGCACAAAGTTCTTGTATCTTCTGCACTCTGAATTAATCTTTACTGATGAAGAGGCAACTAGACTTGCATATACTATAGTCCAGATGAAGTCTCAGAATTGCACCATGGCTCTCCAATTTCAAGAGTCCTGCCTTCTTCACACCAACATTCAGGTTTGGATCTTGCATCACAGTTTTGTAAATTCGTATCAGGAAATTCTGACTTTGTCACAGTCACCTCATTCAATCTTGAAGGTTTTTATGTAATACTACACGATTTCTGCTCACATGTCAACTTCAAATGTCAAAATGCCTGGGTTGTTTTATCACTTGGCTGAAGGAATATGGCTTGTGCAACTCTTTCACCTCACCCTATCCAACCACATAAAAGCATTGACCACAGTAGCTGGCAACACTGTTGTACAGTGGAAGAGAAGACAAGATGAATGTATAGACAGTCAGGTCGACCACCTTCCACCACCACCTACAAAGTAACTTGTCTGCTGACAAGGAACATCAATGAAGTGCCTGTGCAGAAAACAAGCTTCCACTGAAAGACTGGTGAAGATCTATGTCGTTTGCACAAAATTGTCCCTCTTTGTAGAAAAATTTAGATTTTGCACAAGATCTTCATTTTTTTTGTCACAAAAAGGGATACAGCATTTAAATATCAACATAAGCCTAAGAGCAAGATTTCTGATGGTCCAACTAAACCCAGTTTCTGTTCTAGCTGGTCTGACAGTCTGTGTCCCCACAAGCCACTGCACTGTCCTGAGCCTACATTCTTCTTCTGCATGGCCACTGCCAAAGCCCTTGCATGGAGCACTGCAAACCCCTTTTTATCTGAGCTGTCAATGTGTACCATGGGGATGCAGTCTGGCAAAAGCCACTGATGCCTGAAGCACCTGTATTAAAACTGCCAAGAGGTGCCCCAGGAGCTGAAGAGACAGAACAGAAACATCACATTTGGAATTTGAGAGTTCTTTCTGTCTAAATAAAGTGGTGTTGTTCTTTCAGACTTTTACTTTGGGATTGTTTATTTCCCAAAATATTTCAACTTTCTGCAGTGGCTAGGCATAACCATCAGCACCAAAATGATAGACATTATAGTTATTATTAGGAAGGAATACAGTTGTTAACATGCTTTCTCATATGAAGTAATTTGCATTATATCAGTGATTCAAACTTTTGTTTAAATTTGTGCTCTGTGTTGGTCACTGGTTAGAGACAGCTGTACTTTCAAACCCAGAATTTTTTAATAACTCTCCTAGTTTAAGAGAATATATTTTAAAAGCCTATGGATCATTAATCAGGACAGCACAGCTATCACTGCTATACAACAATTCTAACAAGTTACACTGAAAGATGTAGTTGATATTAAAAATAGAAAAATATTCAACTGAAAACTACTTACAGGCTCTGTTAAAGTTGTATCTTTTTCCAGGAACTGTACAACACAATAGGCGAGCTAGAATGTAAGTCATATGATTATTTAGGTTAGACATTGTTCAGACATTGCAGCATAATAACATATCAACTTATAAAGGAAACACTTCAGATTGGACCAGGGGCAAAGGCAGGGGGCAACCCAAACCACCCCTAACACAGCCATTTTAAATTCTTCCAAACTAAACAAAACAGCAAGATATACAGGCCTGCTCTATCTTACAAAAACTTCCTGCATACCAAAAATCTTCATTTTTCTTTTTCATCTAGAAGAAAACTACTTTTAAGCTTGATAGGTATTTCTCTAATTCAGATTCAGTATCCAGACAGATTTCTCTCAACATCAATTCCTCTATCAACAAAGCTATCATGTTCAAACATCTAATATTGGGGCAAAAATGGTTGTTTCAGTTAAAGAAAAAAAAAGTGTTACAACAGGTTTGACTGAGCACATGTGGCTCAAGCACTAGACACCTGCAGCATGCAGTGCTCAGGGATAAGATTACAGGCCAAAGAATGTTCAGGCATTACATGGCCACAAGAAATGAGGAAGTACAGTCTGGCTGAGCATCCCATCCCCAGCAGTGCCCAGCAACAGATGCCAGTGTGTGAGTGGGGGAAGCACAAGGCAATGATGCAGTCACCAGCATCACCTCCCAGCCTCTAGTGATCTCTGTCCAGGGGTTTTCTCATGCCAAAGGGGTGTGTTATATCTTATATAATTACTGTTTAGCTGCTTAGCACCTAGTGAAGTAACTAAACAAGCACACCTCTACCCAGTACAGAAACCACACAATTACCCCATTTGCTAAAGCAGTTACAACCCCAGATTCCATTAAGACTGATTTTAAGAAGTCACAGTATTTCTCCTCTCACAATATAAAGCAAAAACAAAAATTACTTACATGTAATGCATTTGTATTTCAATACTTAGGAAGCTTGAATTCAAGCATTACCTTTCCTTTTTTTTAAAAAAAATCTGTTATCTTAAAGCAGATAATTACAATGCCATAATTCTAACATATCTAATTTATTCCTTTTACCCTTAGGCTAAGGATGCATGTGTGTAGATTCAAAAAAATACTAAATGTCACACATTAATCTCATAAAATCCCATTATATATTGTGCAGTAATGCTTTATTGTTCAAAGACACAAAGACTGAATTAAGCCTTATGGCTTTAACTTTTAAGGGTGGGCTAAAATTGTACTGTAGCAACAAAGCAACCAGGCCTCTCCTAATTGGAAAGCTGATTTAATGCTGGACTACACCTTCAGGATAATAGGAAACTAGGAACATACAGCGCCGAAAGTGCACGTGGCACTAGAGGTTTATGAAGGGATGGGTGAGCAGCCTGGTCAACAAACCAGTACTACTTTCAGGCACACAGCACAGTTGAATTAATAGAACTCTTTCACATACCAACGAACCAAATTCTATGTACAGTAGAATAAAGGATAACTTGCTATACTGATCCACCAGTGAGAATACCTTTGGCAAGTGATTGGTTCCTTTCATATCACTGACTCATTCCACAGAGCAGCCTACTGCATGGTAATAAATCACAAAGACAAGTGATTTAACCAAAATAAAACTTGATATGAGCATGAGGAATTTACTGAGCTCTTGACTTGATCCTGTTTGTAGGCTATATCCACATAATGATTTAACTTTAATTAAACTAATTTCCTTGTATCTTTAGTCTTTAAGGAGCTGTATTCATGAGCTAGCTAAGTTAACAAAGCAAATTTTTAATTAGCCACAGCAAAATTACTTGCAAATCTGTTTCAAATGTAATCAATATCCAAGTGCTGTATGTTTGGAAAGGATATACATTAATCCTCCAATAAAATATTGAGCATCTGTGAAAATTACAAGAATGGAAGCCAAATGAAGAACTAAAGCATTCTGACAGAGTGTCATGGATCTACATAATTTCTAGCTAATCCAGGGATTTCTGCCATTTATATCCAACATTCTCCTCCCCAGCCTGTCACTGGAATGGTTTTAGAGATAAAAAACCCACTTTTGAAATAAGTACGTGGCCATACCCAAGGTTCCTTTGCACACAGTATTTAGGTTACACAAAGGAAGTGAGAACAGAACAAGATCCTGGGATTAAATGAGGTTTAAAGTGTGACAGGGCTATATGCAAAAAAGCTTCCCACTTCAGTTGACTTCAACTCACTGTTGTATTTTTTCACTTTTTATGTATGATAAGGATTATCTCAAACATTTAGACACAAGATCTGCAAGATCTTTAAAAAACAGTGACTGCAAATATTTGCAAACATTTTTGAATATTGATATTATAATACACACTCCTTTAAATTTCATTCGTTTGAAGTGCAAATATAAAAAACCCCACCACTCTTAAAAATAGGCAAAAGCTTACCTGTGCATGAAACAAAGCTAATCCCTTTGCAGTATGCATGGGAATCAGAACTTTCATAAGGAACTGTTTGTGTTCTGCTTTCAGTGGCAGTGCAAAACCATTGATAATACTGAAAATATGAATAAGCAGGATTTATTTTGATTAAAAATATATTTTTCCTAACAAGCCAAAAATTTCTGTAAATTCAAGAGACATTCAATTTCTGATTCAATTTCTAAACCTCATTATTTTGAAGCCATAAAACAGCTCTACATACACATAACCTAAAAAGAGCTGGTATCATGCAAATTTAGACTCTTGGTAGGAATACCATAGAACCACAGTAGAAGTCAAAAAACATTCATTGGATGAACTGAATTATTGTTATTGTGACTTCTATTAAGTAAAACCATCTACAGTAAGCCTTGATGTCTAACTGTAAAGTTCAGACAGATGCATTAGGAAGCTGATTCATTTCCTCCATAGTCATTAGCAACTTGCAGAGAAAAAACAATAGATGGCATAAAATTTTGAACTATTTTAACAGTGCAGTTGAAACATTTATTTTGAGATTGTTGAACAAACTTTTGCTCCAAAAACAAACTGAAAAACTTGTCTCATTGATTCAGTAATCTATTTTTTAAGAGTTGATGAGCTGCTGAACAAAGTCCTTGACAAAGAGGTTGGGGCTTCCCTCCCCCTACCTTTTAGATAAATCTGAGAAAATAAGTGTATCCTTTTCATTGATTTTCATGAAAATTTGTTCCAAAATGGTTTCATAATGAGTTAGACCAGTAATGTTTATAAAATTTTCTAGTATGAAATACATGTAACAGTTTTGGAAAAACAGTAAAATACAATCACAAAAAACTTTGAAGTTAAAAATTAAATTAGTGAAATAATGTAAAAAAAGAGACAACTAAAAAGCTCTGGTACTTGCAAGGCTTTCCTGAACAGAATTTAAAGAAAACGAGCCTGCTGAAGATTAAATCATTTCTTTCAGCAGCAGGGCAAAACATTCATTTACTGAATCAAAGAACAAGTCACCTATCAGACATAAGATAAGGAAGAGCAGATAATCCTGGCAAACAAGACCCTGGAGAAATATTTTGCCAGTCGTCTTACAAATTTGCACCAAAAAATAATTTATGCTCTGCATCTTAATTTGATATTCACATGGTAACCCAGACAGTATTAGATTATTTCTGCAACTGCACTTCATCACTGTAATAATTCTCTTTCCCCCTCCATTCCCAAAGCAAGGAAGATGAAGCAAATGCCCACCATAAAATGTTATATTTTTTCTGTATTAGATGAAACTTACCTTCCTAATATCTCAAGAAGTTCAGCAACACCATTGAAGTGTTCCGTTTCATATATAAACCTATTACAAAAAGAGACAACCATCAAAAATCAAAACAGGGGATCAGAGATTCCTAAGAAAGGACCTTCAATAAGATTCAAATATTTGAAAGCCAGATCACAGACCCAAAGCAGGTGTTTTATTTCAAAAATAATTCACTGCAGACCCAGACCATGAAGGAAAGATAGAATACTCCTCAACCTAGTCATATACACACACACTTAAACAGCATACCTGAGGAAAATGTTGTTAATCTGTTTCCTGATGAATGCTCTTAAACCAAGGAATTTTCCATAAATTCGATGAAGAACTGTCTTTAGGAAATCACGTTCTCGTGGGTCTTCACTATCAAAGAGCTCCAACAACTTTAAAAATTAAATTGAAATGTATTACTTTTGAAAGACTTAAATTTTGTTATGTTACTAGCCAAATTGAGTTTTAGCTTTAATTTATAAGTTTAATTAGAAAAAGTACAGTTTAATCAATTGTATTGTTCAGGTGTCAACACTGTTTTCAAAATTGAATTTTTAATAAAATTGATTTTTAAAAAATTAACTCATCAGCTTAACTCCCTTCAAAACTCCAATAGACAAAATCAATTCCAACAACTGGTACATTATGAAAATGAAAAAGAAATTGTAAGAATGAGATTATCAAACCTTAGGTAAGTGGTTTACACTTGGTCTTTAAAGAAATCAGAATGAATCAAACCTGTTTCAGATATTTTCAATTTCTTATTTAAAATCCTGTACTAATCTCAAAAAGCTTCTTGTGTCTTGAAGGTTAAGCAAAAGGGTAATTCTTTGCAGAATCATTTTGCAGGGTAAGTTGATGATAAGACTCATGCACATTTTTCTCCAGGGGCAAAGGGGGGAGATATACAGATTTAACAGAATGATAATGCACTAGAAGTGAGCTGTTGGAAGTTGGTTCATTTCTGTCCAAACCTATTACCAGGATTCCCTGCTCCCTCCCATTTTTTAATTTTAAACACACCTTCCACACACTCCCACCCTCATTTTCCTCTTACATATTCTGAGTGATGAACATGTTTGGGTTTGTTCCTATACAAGAAATTTAACAATTAACGATTAAATATGAGGGGGTACAAAATAAGCATAAGATACATAGCTATTAACTAATTCTCTGCAAATACAGACTAATGCTGCAATAAGCAAGCAAGATTTTCCATACATTGTTTTTCTTGTAAAGTTTTCCAAGGCTACAGAAAAGACTATACTCACTTCAATTCAGATAATCCAATCCCATTGGATTATCCCATTATCCCATTACAGGCCATTATTTTACTTACTTTTTTCCTCTGCATGTCCAAGTGAGCATATTCAGAAATGCTAACTGTGCTGAACACGTTAGTAACTTAGCTCAAGCAGCCATTAAAATCTCCTGCTCAGTCCATGTCTTTGAGCTTAGGTATATCTATACCAAGCAGCATAAGGGACTGGAAACAGCTGCTCAGGAACTTTGTTCAGGCTCATTTAATTTTTATATTTAGAAGGAATTTCTCAGGATCACTACTCCACTGTTTTTTCCCATATATTGCTAGCTGTTCATTGCATTGTCTTTCCTGTACTCTAGAGAAAGATCAAGTGACATGTCAGGAATTGAAGCTCTGCAACATGGCTCTTAAAAGCCACAGGTCCAATAGTGAATTAGATACTCAGGGCCAATAGCTCAGCAGCAGCTTCAGGCCCAATTTTTTGGGAAAGTCAAATAAAACAGAAAAGGAGGTAACACCTATAAACAAGATCAGTAAAACCAAAGAAGTGGAAGTTAAATGCAATCACCGAAGGTGTGGAGGGACAGTGTCCATTTATGCTTTTACTTTTCATTGCTGTACTGTGATGGCCTGCCAGCACTCTTCAGATGCTGAGCTCTTCCTTGACAAACAAGTATTTTGACATGGTAATGAAATCCCCACTGAGTTAACCTTGTTCTAATTCCTTGAGAAGTTATACTTGAAGTGAAGCCTCATCATTTTCCTATGTACTTTCTTATTTGAGCCTCCTCCTGTGATTAACACACAATAACACCACCTAGACACAAGTTAGCAGATGTTGGAACACATTTCATGTACAGTAAGTACATGAGCTTTTTACAGGAAAGAGGTTGCTGCAAGTTTTCCCGTGATAAATCTATGAAAAAAAACTAAACAAAACACAAAAGCCCTACAACAATTTCATCAGCACATGGTTGATCTGACTGAAAGTTAAGAAAAACTCATGAAAAACACAACTTGTATTTACAGATTTTAAATATCCTGCATTGCAAAACACTGAGGTTGATATCTGAAAACCAAGTGTTTCTGAAGTTACCAATTACACACAGCCTGTGTGGTATGATGTGCTGTTTATTTAGAGTTGGGCAGAAACCGCTGTTGAAACAAGTGTCTAACCCTCTGTCAACATTAAATCTTTATTATCTCCTTAGCTGTACAGTCATCTGTAAGTTAAGCTGGAGAGGTGATCGTTAAATCTGGGGGTAGGAGAACTCTCTACTTACCTGCTGTACAAATTTCTGGTCAATATATCGCTTTGCAATGCTAGGTTGAAAATCCGGGCTCTCCAAAAACCTCAGGAAAAACTCATACACCAACTACAAACAATGAAATGAAAATGTTAATGTTAATAAATACACCCTAACACGGATCTCAGCCCTGCCACCACCACAAAGTCAGTGAGACTATTCACATGTTTAAAAGGTACAAAAGGCAACTGAGGCCTAATACATCACTGCTTAATTAAAGCCTCAGCTGGAATTTACCAAAAGAATTACAGCAAGTACAAAGAACACTAATTCCCAGCAGAGTCAAAGCCTAATAAATGATCTACTAAAAATACCACTGTTGGACAAAAAACAAGTTCTGAGTATTACATATGTTCACATTTCCTACTATATTAAGAATATATATTACGTATAAAAAAGTTACCAAACACTTATCAACACTGAGGGTAAAATCAAGTGTTGTAACATCACATAACTCCTTAAACAAATGAAGAAAAGTCTGCTAAGTGTCCCTGAAATGAAGTTCCAGTTGCTAACTCCAAAACTTAAAAAGTCATAGTAAAAAGCTGAATTAATACACAGAAACTTAACTTTGGCTTAACATTACATTTCTATACACTCAATTAAAAGAACAAGACCCTCTGCAGATTTATCTTTAACATCCTTTGCATTTAGTAGTATATAATTTCTATAGAGCTGAAGTCTCCATTTGCTATCATCCTGCAATGAGGTAGCAGAGAGGCATGAAAAAGCCAGAGCACAAGTCCCATACTTAGGAGTTCAGTGAAGTCCAACACACAGCATAACATACTTCCATAACAATGGAAGATGTATAAAATACACATAAGGCACCTCTTAACTAAGAGTTGAGAGGAAAGACATTTTATGTTTACATGCATTCAGGGCTGCTTATGTTCTCAATATCTATTTCTCAACTCCATGTTAGTTACACAACTGATTAGTAATAATACTAAAATGCAATTTAGATACACAAAGACATCACTGACTGAACTTCTAAATAAAAACCACACAGAGCTGTGGTCATACTCGCAGGCATGCATTTCAGCTGGTACTGCTAATACTACTTATTAAACTGAGAGCAAACACCTGAGTAATGAATAATTACAATTAGGAAGTTCTCCTGAGAGAAGTGCTTGACAATAGATATTTTTTATCTAGAACATTTGAGATGACAGTTACACACTTCCTCAAGGAGGGTATGCTGTATCTGCAAAGTAGAGGCTCAGAAACCCAAGTTCTCCTTCACTCTTTATTCCCCTCTGACAGAGCGTACCAAGAGCTTTTCACCTCAGCAATTTAAATGTATACAAATGTCATGCAATTGTGTTAAAACCCAAGCTTCTCTGCACAGCCTTAATTTGTCATCTTCTGCATAACACACAGTTGCACAATAGACAGCATAAGACAATTTTTAAAGGCTCGGTAATAGAAAACCCAATAGTATAATTTTAAATATTTCCATACCCCACGCTCTGTTTTAGAAAGAGATCAACCCTGGCTGTTTAATAACTTCATGAGCGACAGGCAGTGGGATTGAGTGCATCCCCAGCAAGTTTGCTGATGACACCAAGCTGAGTGGTGTGGTTGACATGTCTGAGGAACAAGATGTCACCCAGAGGGACCTGGACAAGCTCAAGAAGGAGACCCATGTGAACCTCTTGAGGTTCAACAAGGTCAAGTGCTAGGTCCTGCACCTGGGTCAGCACAATCCCTGGTATCAATACAGGCTGGGGGATGAAGGGATTGAGAACAGTCCTGAGGGGAAGGACTGGGGGGTACTGGTGGATGAGAAGCTGGACTTGGGCTGGCAATGTGTACTTCTAACACAGAAAGCCAACTGTACCCTGGGCTTCATAAAAAGAAGCATGGCCAGCAGGTCAAGGGAGGTGATTCTGCCCTTCTACTCTACGCTCATGAGCCCCTACCTGGAGTACTGTGTCCACCTCAGGAGTCCTCAGCACAGGAAAGACAGACCTGTTGGAGCAAGTCCAGAGGAGGGCCATGAAGATGATCTGAGGGCTAGAGCACCTCTCCTATAAAGATAAGCTGAGAGAGTTGAGGTTGTTGAGCCTAGAGAAGAGAAGGCTCTGGGAAGACCTTATAGCGGCCTTTCAGTACTTAAAGGGGGCTTACAGAAGAGATGGAGACATGCTTTTTTTGCAGGGCCTGTTGCAATAGGACAAGGAACAGTGGTTTCAAACTAAAAGAGGGGATATTCAGATTAGAAACAAGGAAGAAATTGTTTACAATGAGAACGGTGAAACACTGGAGCAGGCTGCCCAGAGAGGTTGTAGACGCCCCATCCCTGGAAACATTCAAAGTCAGGTTGGATGAGGCCTTGAGTAACTTGGTCTAGTTGAAGATGTCCCTGATCACTGCAGGGGGGTTCGACCAAGTGATCTTTAAAGGTCCCTTCCATCCCAAACCATTCTATGATCCTACTGATCTTTTTCAAACTAGAAACTCAATACATTTGTTAGTAGTTTGTACTGAATCGGAAAACATGGCTGGAAGGAGGTTATTAGTACAGCTTCATAGGGATTAAAATTTTGTAATTAAATTCCATAAAGTATTTCTGTAATAAAGTCCTACATTAAATATTTCTATCAGTGACCACAACAAAGAACAGTCATGTGTGATAATTGTGTAGATGAGATGCCAGAATATCAGAAGATACCACCAGGGAAGGAAAAAAAAATAATAAAATAGACAGGTTATCAATAACAAAGGACAAGTTGATCCTGGAAATAGATACAGGATAAAGCTCAAGGATTACAAAGTCACAGTTAAAGATCCTAGAAAAAACTCTGCTAAGCACTTGCAAGCCTTTAAGAGAAGAAAGGTAGGGATACGGGTTCTGAATACTGTTGCACCATAGTATGACTAAGATCCATCTGCACAGTGAAGCCATGGAAGTGACAGATGAAATCCCAGGATATTCCAGAAAGATACTGACAGAGATGCAGTCCTACCCATGGTTTCCATGTGAGGAAATCTATTTGACCTGTAAGGATTCAGAGAAGGAGCCACTAGAGTCATCACAAAACAGAGTGAAGACTAAACTGGCATGTTTTTTTCCTCTGAAGGACAGGGGAAAGAAGAACAATTACGGCCTCTTTCTATAAATAGGTATTTGGGACTATGATAAATAGCAAGCAGAACTAAGTTAAAGAATAATGCTGCAAAATCTTGGTAGAAGTTGTCCGAGATTAAGGTTAGGATACTGATTTGGGTCAAAACTAAGGTATATCTCATCTATAAAACAGAAAAGCCAATATTCATGCAAGATTAAGATGTGATGACAAATTAATCAGTTACATGTCTCATTTCCAATTTAGGGAGAATATGCATTAGTAACCATTTGAATGCTTCAGAGAAACACATTTAATTCTAGATCTACAATTGATGCTATTGTTCTTTGAGAAATTTCACCAAAACAAAATTTGGTGCTCAGAAATCCAGTTTTTGAGCTGTATCACAGGAAAGTTTTGTGCACTAAAGGAGCATTTATGCAGTTCTGATGCTTACTGATTTGTCTGGCTACCTGATAATTAGTACCACTGCTCCTAATTATGTACAACTGGTAAAAGCTGTCAAATAACTTTGGAAATCCTTGGGAAATCCATGAAGCTTTATCACAGGCATTTCAGAAAGCAAAATGTAATGGCCATTTCTGAAGAGCTAGTTTCTCCCTTCTCCTGTATGCTTATGTTTGCAAACTTAAAAGCACAACAGCTATCAACTAGGGGAACAAGAACAGATTCTACCCATGAGACACTGGCTGCTCCTGACTGAAAAAAAGATACTGGTATGCTCAACTTTAGGTTTAAATCAAGCATTACCACTGGAAATACTAGTTGATGGGAGAACTGTTGGATCTAACAATTTTGGCTCTAAAAATTGGTCTGCTTGGGTCAAAGAGCTATAAAACATAACTCCTACTACTTCAGGGATTCAATCTTCTTCCTTGCAGACACCACTAAAATATTACTTCTTTAAGATAGCAATTCCACCAACTGTGCAACTCCCTAAGCTCCAAAAGACACAAATGGCTTTAATGCTGACCTGTTCAACTTAGTTTGGCTGTTACAAACCATCTTGGGTATTGCTTTAAAGCAATGTCTTTCAAGTGGCACTCAATTTTACTGAAGGTCAAGACTCTTTTGTTGTGACTACACACACTGGTAACTTAATGAACTATTATCTATCATGTTATTTTACAGAAAAATGCCCAACAGATTCAACCAAGGAAAAGCAGAGATGCAGATTTTTTTAGTTCTCTCCCAGAAAACTGGCTACCTGACTGTTAGATCAGCACAGAACTCTGAATGTTTGTAATTGAGCAACCACAAATCACAGTAAGCAAAACATATAAACACACATTCCCCTAAGCAGTTCTTTAGATTATACCAAAAGTTATAATGGGGTTTGATACGGGGGGAAATGGGGAAAGATGGGTGAGCACATCTCTTCCTCCATATGCAAAATTTTATACTTCCAGCAGCTTTGTGCTCCCAGAGGGCAATTACTAATCAAACTAAGTCTTCTAACATCCATTAAGTGAACTGTGAAAGAAAGGAGAGAAAACACAAACTGTTCCCTTGTGCTGCAGTGAGCAGTGTTCCAAGGACAGTATGAACAACTGATGCAGGAGACTGAAATCTACAATGATCAATCAGCCTGGCCAGAACTCATTTAGGAAAAGGCAAACGAACAAGCTGAAAATAAAATTTCAAATATCATGGGCTACAACCCTCCTTCAATTTATGTTAGACAAGCCTGAAACACAAAAACTGGTCACAGAAATCACAAGTTGTTTTGCATAGAAAGAACTGTAGTTTATTTATGACCTCAAATGAACCAAACAAACATTTACAAATTTTACTGCTCAGAGACAGGGACATTTTGAAGTCAGAGGCCAGTACTGACTATAAGAGACATTTGCATAGCCCTTAAAACCTGAAAAAAAAAATAATAAATCTCAAGCCTCTCATTTTCTTCAGTTGCAGCCATTTTTCCTCTAAATTAGAATCAGCCATATATTATTGAGACAATAATTACCACAGCCTTTAGCCAGCAGATCTATTTATTATTTGCAATAACTTATTTCTTACTTAAGTCTCAAATACTATCCTGAACATGTACTTGTAACAGCCAATAGTATATATCTTTTTTTTAATTAAAGAGCATTTGTTGATACATTAGAACTATAATATTAGAAGGACAGACTAGCATTTTAACTACCTTGAGAAGGGAGAGTATGCAGATGTGTGGTAGCTATTAACCTACCCACTACTAGAAGTTGGTACACAACTTTTATTCAACAGATACTACATATTTAAATGTGACAATGAAGTACCTGAGATATGAGCTTGGGTAATTACAAGTAAAATTATTATTTATTTTTTTTTCAACTTTTACAGTTCATTTTGAAAAAGCAAATTCAGCAGTACTACAACTCAATCATGTGATTGACACAGCAATGCTGTAAAAATCACGAGATTGGCATAGGAGTGCAACAATAGAATAACTAATCAACTGTTGCCAAACAACAACGTCTACATTGTAAAGGTTTTGCACGGAGGGAGGGAAGAGGATGGGGAAAATGAGGAGTTATCTATTTCTTGCCAAAAAAAAAAAAGCTATTGTTCCTTTTGTTACTGTCACAAGAAACTGACCTGTTAACATCCACTTACATTTTCTTGAAATCACAAAAGAAAGTTGCTTAAGTGCAGAAAACAAGCCTCTAACATAAAAAGCATAATTACCTAAAATATCCATAGATTTTTAAAACATACATACACAACACTTGAACAGTGTAATCACTGTCAAAAAAACAACAGTATTTAAGCAATTTGGAAGACTTACACTCTGCCATCTTTATGCACATTCAGAAAACACCGTTTTTCTCCCCCATCCCAAGTACAGAAGAAACTCAGATGTACTGTGAAAGCAATTTTGATGTTCTTACCAAAGGCTCGAAATTACTTCAGTATCCATTCACATTTCCTGCCCTATGAGAGGGCTTGAAAAGAAAGGAAACATACCTGTATGTGCGGCCATGAGGCTTCAAGAGTTGGTTCATCTTCTTCTGGATCAAAATCCGGGTTATCACTAGGTGGAAGTGTTCTAAAAATATTAGAACTAATCTGCAAGAGAAAAAATAAATTGTTTAACTGTATCTCTTGTTATGCTTCCACAGACTATAGTCAGCAAAGCATTGCCTTTATTCTAAAATTACATGAAACAAAACCAGCTTAACAAAAACAAGTCACTTTTATTCTTTGTTTTTTCAAAATTGCCAAATCCAAACAGGCAAAAAATCTGAAACAGGCCAGTGAAAATAACAAGAAAGCAACTTTTGTCTCAGCTGTATTACAAGTTTGTAGCTAGACATGGCCATATTTTTCTCTGAAACTATGAAAGTTAAGAAAATTTCAGTTTACCTTTAAAAAGACCAATTTTTAACCATTTATAACCCAGAGCTGAGGTTTTATATAAGACATCAAATAGAGTATGTCTAACCAATTATGACAAACAGTTCTCTTAACAGAGAAAGCAGATCTTAAGGCAGATAATCTCCCAAATACATCTGATTTAAGAATTCTTCACTTATGTCTAAGTGAGGAAAATCTTTAAATTAAGAACTGAAGAACTGTTTCCAATTTTTCACCTTTCATAAGGTCAAGATGTTTCAAGGTTTTGGGAAGTCAGAAATACATAACAATTGTAACTTTAAGTTAATATAGAGTAACTTTGAAAAAAACTTTTACAAAATAACTACCAAGTTACCTTAAGTATGATATAGTCATACCAAATAAATTTCAAAAGGGTGAGTTTTAAAAGGTTTATTTAGCGATTGTTCAAGTACACAGAAGTCTGGATACAAGACAAATCTTTCAGATGTTAAAAGAAAAATAAATGTAGTTTCTCCTGCCAGATTTAACCCACTGGATTTTAAATCCCTTCAACATGAACAAAAGAGAACAAATTAATTTCAATTCTACTTCTTCTAGGTTTAGCCCAACTTTTCCAATAATCTTTAAACTTATGAGTTTTTTCAATCAGATCTGTTTCAAATAGCTGCTAACCACCCAAGCCTACTAAATACCAAGAAAAATGTTTGACAGCTTGCACCAAAGGCTCCTACTGCATACCTTCCATGGAGTCTCCAAGGTGTTTGAAGAATCTTGCAAAAGGACTTTGAAAGATCCTTAAGCCACCCAGCTGGCTCTGCATAGAAGAATCAGCTGCCTCATTAAACAAGATGTAAAGCTATTGCATAAACTGATTTTTCCTTCCTCCTACACTTCATTCTACAACCTGTCACTGTCTCCTGTTGTTACATGGTGAAGCTGCAAGCACTGCTGCTCTAGCACAGAAGTGATGTTCAGTACTGAAGGGCACTACTGCTGCATAGCAGAAAAAAATCCCAAAACAGTACAGTTGCCCTTTAATGTTGTAAACACAAGGGAGGACAAGAGAAAGTGAAAACTGTTGTCTGAGACAGCATGAATTTTAATCAAGCTCTAAAACTGAGACTACAATCTTAGTTCTGTTATTTGATATTATCTACCCCCAATAGGTATTAAACAAAAACATCCAACATGCAAATCAGTCCCCTACAGAAATTTCCCTACCTCTGCCTGCAAGTCTTCTGTTAATATCTCTTATATCTCTTGAAACTGCATCCTTTCATTTCTAGATGCATCTTGCTGACCTGAACCAGTCAACCCTCTAGCACAGAACCTCAGTGCCAAATGCAAAAGCTAGAGTCCAAAACAAAAATATGAACTACTGAACATACTCCTATAACAGAAACAAATAGCAAGCTCCTTGTCCAGATATTTAGAACATTTATTTTATAATTTTCAGCGTATTCAGTACTTCTACTACCATTACTGATCTCCTGAGAACACTTGAAACTTAGAACAAACTGTGTACCCATTTTTATGTACTAGTCTGTATCCCTAAATAACTAGTTCCTTTATTTAATTATGTTTTAAATACTTTTGTTTCCTGTCTCATTTGTTTTTTCCAATATTTTGTTAATAGCACTGATTAAAAAAAAAACTTATTTTTTTCTATGAACAAATTATTCTCTGTATGTTCTCACATTATTTAAAACATCCCTTTTCCTTTATAAATGCAGTCTTATCCCAAACTTGTGATTTGAAAAATACAAATTGTAGAAGGCTTTTACAGCTAGATAGGTTTCCAGGAAAACCCAGCATTAATTTTCAAAATTAACTCTCAACATTTTTGTGAGTGACATATGAAAGGTATTAAGATACAGCAATTATTTTATTAAAAAACAACAAAGAAGTCCCTTATTGTCTCTACATTTCCCAAGGAGCTAAGCACTTGGAGAGATACTAGATTCAGTTTCAATTTCTGAGTGTGCAGATAAGGATACATGATGTTTTCTGAAATTCTGAATCTACAGCTTGTGCACGCTGGTAGGACAACCTAATTTACATTTGAATTTCACATGCTGGTAGGGAATGAGGGGAGGTTGACAGGCAAAAGGAGACGGAGTAGTAATATGTACTGGAGGTACATTCCTGTTATGCTCCAAAACCTGATAAAGGATAGAGCTTTTTAACTTCCCAGGAAGTTCTAAAACTTCAAATATTCACAGTGCCAAACCTTAATTTGCTGTTAGCTTCAGAGTACAGAGGACACCAAAGACCTAGAAAGGAGGTGCACAGACAATTATGCTAGCCCTTCAAAACTATTTTGTAGGCAAAACTCTTCCTCAGTTCCTAACTCAAAGGCTTTGGTAAAGGAATTGTAGGAAAATCACGGCATAGTTTGGCTTGAAGGGACCTTAAAGATCATCTAGTTCCAGCTCCCCTGACATAGGCAGGGACACCTCCCACTAGACCAGGTTGCTCAAAGCCCAGTGCAACCTGCTCTTGAACACTTCCAGGGAGGGGGCATCCATAACGGAACACCAAAAAGCATTAATCCTTACATCTGCCTAAACAAATATTATATCTATATTTATTTTTTATCTTGTTCCATCCGTGGTGACTTGAAAAGACATTGGTATATTTCAGCTAAGTGCTCCCTGCTTCAGGATCCAAGCAGAGCAGGGACAACTTGAGAAAGTCTCATTGTGTGGTACTGGCCCAGCAGTTATCACCGTAGCAGAGACCATGTGAAGAAAAGGAATGCCAGGGGACCTCCTCACTTGCAGGCCTTGCCTGCACACTGGTCAGGAACTACTTTTTTTTTTTTCCTCTTGGTATTTCTGAGGGATTGTTGACTTTTTCTCCAAGACCTGGACAGCTTCAAGGAAATTGGACTCCTTCCTTTGCAAGCTGGAGGAAAGGGGTCCCAGA